GGCACTATTTCGCACTCTCAGTATTCCCTCTGTAGCCCGCCCACCTCACGACATCAGCTGCTAGGACTGTATGGTTGCACACAGTGAGTGGAAGGGACCTTATCAACTTTCTTCGAGAGATTTTCTAGCAAAGTGTTGGGAAACCTGTGCTGGGAAACCTGTTTGTGCGGGCGCTGCTCTGGGCAGGCAGTGGTTCTCTGCCACGTGCGATCAGACACAGAACACAGCGGGCACCTGCGCAACCCGGTGCGGTGCGCGCCACCTCCCGGCGCGGGGGCCCACAGGCTGCCGGCTTGCAAGGCAGAGCCAGGCGCGGTGCCAGCCTGCTCCGTGACGACTTTCCTTTGCCAAATGGGCACCATGGCATTCTCCAGCCGCCATACCCCCTCCCCCCTCCTCGGGATCACAGCGTGTCGAAATAGAAGTGGGAGGGAAGGTCGTAGATGAGAAGTCAGTTTGTAGGATTTTTCCACATTTTATTACCTTGGCCCAGCGCCTCAAAAAAGCAGCGAGAATTGCACCTATCTTTCTAAATGTTCTCACGTCAGAGTATTACGAATTGATTGAAAGAAACAACTTGGGTTCAATTCCTTTTAAAAATTGAATAACTGTGGAAGGCCTCAGGTGGACATAGATTTGTCCTAAGGGTGGAATTCAGTAGGTAAAATCATGTGTTACAGTAAATTTATTTTTTGAAGAATGAAATACTTATGGCAACAGCTTCCCACATTGCTGTCTTGGAAATTAATTTTATCCTCAAAAGTAGCCCTTTTGCAGATATAGTGAACACGACAATGGCAAGTTTTAAATCAAGGTTGGCTATTCTAAAATAATTAGGTGTGACATTATATTTTAACTTTAAAGTAATGAAAATGATATTGTTTGTATCACAATATTATAATTTAGGCTGTTTCGCACTTTTTGGGGACTCATTCTTTGTCAAGTCAGAAGTGACTCAGAGCTGGCCCTTCAGAGGATTTTCAGAGGCTGTGTAAATTGATTGGAAGGACACTTCATCTTTCAGGATTGAGGTGGGCAGGTAGGGGGATTTGAATCACCAGAGAGGTGCTGCCTTTGGGGTAACAGTGCAACTCCCTGTGGACTAGGCCTGTAGGGCTCTACCCCAGCCATCTCCAGATGGGTTTGGTTGGTGTTTTTTTTTTGGCGGGGGAGCATCATCAACAGTTATTAAAAACATAATTACCCTTTTGCAGAAAGTGTAAAAATCAGGTTAGATCTGTAAATATTCTTGAAAACTTCATTACTTCTATGATCCTTTGAAAATTGGTTTTTTAATTCCATAACAGAAGAGGACTTGTTACCAATCATTGCTTTCTTTTAAGACAAGGACTGTATACAAAGAAAAAAAACCAAAAACTGAGTTACCTAAGCTTTTTGTTTTATTGATATTGAATAACTAGGAGTTTTGTGCCCTTAAGAGGCAGGAGAAAGTCATTTGACTGTGAATGATATCAGTGATTGTCCTGTCAAGGAAAGAAAGTGGGAAAAACCCTGATCAGTTAATTTCCTTACTTTTATTTCCTCATTTTTATTTCATAACTTCATATTAGATTATACCACATAGTTCACAGATAACATGAAGGTAAAGACTTCACATCACGGATGAGGAAACTGAGTCCAGACAAGGGAGGCAATAGCCTAAAGCTACATTGCAGGGAGCCCAGGCTCCAGGCCTCTTCGGGCTCCAGGCCTCTGCCAGGTACCCTTGTCAGGCACTGTGCTTTGGCAGTTGTCTGAGAACTTAGTGAAACCTATGTTTTTTCTTTTAACACCTGTACGATACATTCAGTGTTAGAAATGTGTGTTTGCTATAGAATTCACATCTGAGCTCATTTGACAATTCCTTGCTGCCATTTTCATTGGCAGAGTGCTTCCAATACCTGCTCTTCTTGAAATTAATGTACAATTGATTATCATAAGGCTCTGTCCTCAGAAGGGCACTGTGGATCATGTACCTTTAGTTCAGCTTTTCTGTTGCTCTGGGAATTTGTGACCTTCACTCTGGAATTTCAGATGTGGTTCCACATTCTGATGATGTTTTTGTTTCTGGCCTTGTAACTAACAAAAAGGCTTCTGTGTGACAAAATAACATAGAACTGACTTCAAGGTGGGACTGCCCAGTTCCACCCTTTTCAAGCTACTGACCTCTTGTGTCCTGCTTCGTGATGTGTGCAATGGAAATAAGGGGTGGTGCTAACTCCAAGAGCATTGTGCAAATTAAATGTGTGAATCCATCTAAGATGTTTACAGCAGTGCAGTACCTGTTAGTAGTGTCAGGAATGTGCTGGGTAGTGAGTGATAGAAGTGGGAATGATGAGTTTGGCATTTGCAGAGCTTTAATTTCAGGTTTTATCCACCCCACCACTGTTGCTAGGATTTATCCTCTTCAAAATGAGGAGCAGAGCAGGAGCTCAAGCCTTATTAGGCATTTTATTTTTCAGTGTTCCATTTCGGTGAAAGTCAACTGTGGAGTCGTAGGATGTGAAAGCGGAAGGACACTTAATGGAATGTCAAGGAGTCATTAGTTTTCAGCTACTCACCACTTCATCTTGGAGAATTGAAGTTAAATGATCAGGGGACCAACTTCTTCCTGCAGTGGAAGACTATTGCTTCCAGTCTCTGGGAACCTCTCCTTTAGTGCGAATTTACTTGGTCCCACCTTCTGAGCAGCTGTTAAAATTAAAAAGTAAATAAAGTGTACTTCAGTTCTCTGCCACCTCAAAGCAAAAGTACTCCATTAGCAAGGGCCACTGGGAAGATATTATTGGCTAAGCTAGAATCTCTGGTGCTGTTTGAATTCTTTTTAATTTTTTTCTCTCTCTATGAATATTTTGTTCCACTTGAGGGTTTTTTTGTTTTGTTTTTTTTTTTTTGCTGTGGGAGAGTTAGCAGGTTTTGTTTTAGCTTCCATGGAGGTCCTGGCAACCCAATGAATCTGTGAACCCAATGAACCCAGTGAATCTGCCTGCTGTTTGCAAAGCAGGCCGTGGTGCCCGTGATATTTGAGCATGCTTATCTCAAAAGACTGGGTGTAAGTCAAGGAATAGCTTTGCAAGGGAGAGGAGGGCTAGGCGAAGCAGCAGGTACTTCCAGAGGTGAGAGGAGCATTATACATCTAACTGTATGAAAGGAAGGGAATTAGAGGAGCCAAAACTACTGTGGCTTTGGTATGGCTAAATGACTAGTCTGAAATTCAAGAGTGTTTGAGTTTAGCATGGAGAAACAAGATATTTGAGAAGCCATGGCTGGTGGTGAGATTACTGAAGCATTGTAAACACCCAATTATTAGACCACTTCTTAGAATTTACTTGATTCTGCAAGTCACAGCTTCATTTAACTATTTTTTTCAAAGAGAAATCTATTTTTCTTAGTATAAAAATATGTAATTATACTGTTTTTATAAAACATAATTATTTTAAAAATCAGCCAAATAAAGTATAATGAAAAGTCAGTGGTATTTCCCCATATCCACTCCTCAGAACCAATATTAAATCCTTGTGCATATATAAGTGCATGGCTTCTTTTAATCTCTGCCTCAACCCATTGCCATTAAGTCAAAACCAATTCATGCTGACCCTCCACTGGGTTTCTTAATGGGATGAGACAATAAATGTTAATGAGGTGAGATCTTGCCTGACCTTTCTTTCAAGGAGCTACTAGCAACTGGCTGATTTGATCTCTCAACCTTTTGATTAGCACTCCAACCCTTAACTTACTATGCTATCAAGGCTTCTTTTGAAAGGAAAACCTCTAGTAATTTTTTTTAAAAGTAGTTATCTTTTGTAATGAACTTTGTTGTTGTGTTGTTAAGTGCCATCGAATCTTCGAGTCGCAGGCAACTCATAGCGACCATATGAAGGAGAGCCCTTGAGGACGCTTGGGTGCCTTTCATCCTCTCTCCAGGTTCATAGGGTTTCTGGAGCCAAGCTATTATGGAAGTGGATGCCACTCCTCCTTCCACAGCTTGTTTAATCGGGGAGCTCCACCCCACTCTCTGTCTGCATTGGGTAACCAGCCATTTGACACATCAGTGTCACAGGTAATGAACCTAGTCATCTCTTTGTTCCTTCAGCTTATCTGATCTGTAAATTTAGATTTTATTAAATCAGAGGTTTACCTAAAACCTGGTGACCTTCCTGCCAGAATGTGTGTGAGTGTTCTGTCCTGGACCTGCATTGTTTGCACGGCCCTGGTGGATTGTTGGGAAATGCACTGTTCTTTGTGAAGATCAAAGTACCTCATTGTGTTTATTTCATTCTACATTTAAAAACAAGTACAAAACTTTAATCATGATATAATTTTTATTTCTTCTGTTTCGTTCTTTGAACATTCGTAGTTTTGATTTGGTGTGGGTAGCTAAAATCTCAAAAATAGCAAATCCTTTGGAAGTAGATTGCTTGGAGAAAACTATTTCATTTCTTTTTTTTTACTTCTCTCCCACCTCCCATTCTTTGCTCAGCCATACAATTGGTGGTTTGGTAGGTTCGGAGGTAATAATAATGTTTGCTTAGTTGGGAGAAGCCCAAGATCCCGTTAATTGTTTGTATCTGTGAGACTGACCTGTAGGAAGTTAGGGTTTTGGTTTTTTTGATAAAGTATCTTTGGAAATTATAGGATAGAGGTAACACAAACTCTTACAAAAGTGTGCTTCGGCCTTTCTTTTCTTTTTCCTTGCAATGAAAAATGATCTTATATTTCCTCTATGCTTTATTCTCCTTGTAAGCCTGCTCATACCTAGCTTCTATACATTTTAATTCCCCTGGTTTTTTACCATTTCTCATTGCAGGATCAGTGCACAGCACTTTGGAAAGAATTTTTGGTGACGAAATCCAGAAGCCAGTTTGCGATGTTAATTGATCCAGTCAGTCAGGATCAAGGGCTGTGAGTCTCCCCAAAGATTGCCATACTCCTGGGTTCCAGCACTGGTGGACCTTTCAGGCACTTTTGCCACAGGTGTAAAAGACTCCAGAACTGCAAAGATGCTGAAACAGATACTTTCAGACATGTTCATAGATCCTGATCTACTGGCAGAGCTCAATGAGGAACAGAAACAGATCCTATTCTACAAGATGAGGGAGGAACAGATCCGACGGTGGAAAGAAAGAGAAGAAGCAATGGAAAAGAGGGAGTCCCTGCCAGTGAAATCCAGACCCAAGAAAGGTAAACTTAGCCTTGTGTGTTCTGTGAATGTCCTGGTCAGTTTCAGCATTTCACACTAGTCACAAATAAGCCAGGTGTGGCTCCAGTGTGGTGGATCTTAAATGGAATTCTAATAGCACTATTTGTCATCTTAAGTGTCCATACTCACATCAGTTACAGGGCATTTTATACCCTGGAGCAATTCTCTTGAAACCAGACTGACCTTAAATTGAAATGAAAAGTCACCCACGGGCTTTGATTTGAGCACTGGTAAAATCTGAAGGGCTTTTTTGCCTGTGGAATCCATGGCCCAGACACTGTTTGCCTCTGGGCTTCTAGTGTTTGTTGAATTGGTCTCTGGTGATCACTTAGACAAGGCTGTCGTTTGTTGTTTTTTTTTTTTTGTTTGTTTGTTTCTGTAAGTCCTTTCTTGGCAACGGTTTTCATCTATATTTCGGAAAATTTGTGTTCCTTTATTATGTAATCCTGAGGCAGAAGTTATATAGTGAAAGTTCTATAGTTTTATCATATCAGAAGGTTATTAGCCCCTTAAATTTAACACTTGAGGGAAAATATATTTTGCACTACGTTAGCTCCTTTTCTGAGAAAAAAAGTCTGATGGCCTTTAGGCCACTTCCCTAAAAAGATTTCTTTGTTTTTATCTTCTAGTGTCTTTGAAGATCAAATTCCAGGTAAATACAAAGGTAGTAAAGACAGTGTTGTGCTGCTAACCAAATGGTTCCACTCAGGTGGCTCAGAACCACCAGTCTCTCCAATGAAGAAAGGTAGACAGGCTCCTCCCAGGAGTTCCAGCCTCGGACACCCCATGGAGGGTCACAGTGAATCAGAGTCTGCTCAGCAACACAGAGGTTGAGTTTTGAGTTCAAAGGGATCATTAATGATGTCAGTTAGTGGTAACTAGAGACTAGAGGTGCTGTCTGTGCTGTAGACCATCTGAGCTTGTGACTGTTTTTTGCTGAGACCTCACTGGGTGCATAAGTGTTTGTAGACTTCTGCTTCTGGCCCATCTTTTCTCCAACCTGCTCACTTGTACCAGGCTCATATAAGTGCTACTATTCTCAGTGGTTCTGTGCCAGGCTGTGCAACCTCCTCTTGGCTCATTAAATACATCAGATTTCATTTTATTAATACTGTCATACCATGCTAGCTTACTTCTTAGCAGTTATTTCATCATCATGAGGTGTTTTGTTTTGTTTTTTTCCCCTATAAGCAAACAGTCCATGGTGGGTCTTCTAAAGAGCTCTGTGGCTCAGTGGATTATATGTTGGATTACTCACTCAAAGTTAGTGGTTCATTTCCACCAGAAACTGAAAGATAAGATAGTCTGCTTTAGTAAAGGTTTACAGTCGTGGAAACCCTGTGTGGTAGTGAAACTCTGCCTTAGAGGGCCACTTTGATTTGTAATTGACCAGACAATAGTGGGTTTTGCTTTGTTTGGTGGGTGAAGATGTGTCTTATGAGTTGTATAAATATTTTTCACTTCACTATGACATCAAATAGCAACAGCAAAAAACTAACCTAAAGATTGGTCATTTAAACTCAGCCAGGAGGCTGTGAAGAAAACATCTGGTGGTCTGCTTCTGTAAAGATGAAAACCAAAAAACCTATAGAAGAGTTCTGTGCTGACCATAGGGCTCTTCTGTTGTTCATAAGGTTTTCAAAGGCCTATCATTTCGGAAGTGGATGGCCAACCTGTTTTCTAGTGTGTCTTAGGAGCAAAGCCATCCCAGTACAGAAAACTAACAGGCAAGTTCTGTATTCATAAGAGCATTCGATAAACAAAGAAGTTTATACATGACTAAACTATAAAATAAAGAGTAATATGAAAGTCATTCCCCCAGTATAACTGACTGATAAGGGATGCACCCCTAAGAACAAACCATAAAAATAAGTAAGCTTATGATTCAAACTATGGTCTTTTCAATTACTTCCTATGTATCTGAAAGGTAGATAGTGAATAAGGATGACAAAAGAAGAATAAGTGTCTTTTAATTGTGGTGCTGGAGAAGAATACTGAATATCCTATGTCCGGCCAAAATAATGAAAAACAAACATGTCTTAGAGAAAGTGAAGTCGGGTAGGGTGTTCTTTGGAGGAAAGAATGGTGAAGTTTCATCTCACATATTTTGAGCATGTTGTTAGGAGGACAAGAACATCATGCTTGGAAAGGTGGAGGGTCAGCAGAAGAGAGGAAGACCTCAAACAAGATGGATTGACACAGGGACTCTAATAATGGGCTCCAGTATGTCTGAGATGATGAGGATGGTACAGGATAGGGCAAGGTTCAGATCCATTGTTCACAGGGTTGTAGACAACTATGAGTTGTAATTCCCTCGAGGGCACCTAACAATAACAACATCTATGGGCTGCCATGTTACCATGTTTTCAAAGACTATGACTTGTGTTTCAATGTTTTATATCCAAGGAACTGATGTTTACCTTTTAGTAGTCTTCAGATTAAAATAGGAGAGACTGAAAAGAATCAAAAGTGTGGCTTTAACCCAGAAATAAATCAGAAAACTTTTCCAAAGTGTAGTGGGAAAATTCAATCCCTTCTCTTAATGCTGGAGGATGACAGTCTATTATACTACACTCGCCACTAATCACATGTGAGTTTTGTGCTCATGTTGGTAGTCCAACTTGAGGTGTGGTCTAGTGTGTAAATTACCAGAGTTCTAGTGGTAAAGTTAAGCCGCCAACTGTAAGTATGTGGTTCAAATCCGTGAGCTGTTCTATGAGAGGAAGATGGGCAATCTCCTCCCGTACGATTTACTCCCTCTGAAAACATACTGGAGGGTCAGCTGTGGGTCTGTTCTGACTCAACAGCACATAACAACATTATAAGTTCACTTTGATCATATACTGGAATAATATTTTTCATGATTTGGATAAAATGAAATGTATTAAAAAATTAATTTCTTTTTATTGTAGCTACTAGAAAATGAGCATTTACAGGAATAGCTTGCTCTCATCTTTGGACAGCACTTCTCTAGAGTGTGATAGTAATACCAGCCAGCACTTATGGAGTTATGTGTTAGACCCCGAGCTAAGTGCTTAAATTTATGGTCTCATTAAATAAGCACAACTACACCCTGAGCCATGAATTACTATTTACATTTTACAGCTGGAGAAAATGAGATGGAGAGACCTTAACTTGCCCTGGGCTTGCAGCTAGGAAGTGATGAAGCTGTAATATATCCTGGGTCTAATTCTCAGAGCTAGTACTGCTAAGCCAATATGCTTCTGTCAAGATCAACTGACACTTAAGAATATTTACTGTAAGTACAACCACCGTGATTTTAGAGGCAAAGAGGGCAAAACTTCATCTCACATGCTTTGTGCATGGTGTTAGCAGGATCCAGCCCTTAAAAAAGACATCATTCTGGGAAGGGTGGTGGTTCAGGGAAAGAGTAGAAGATCCTCAACAAAGTGGACTGAAGCAGATCACGTTGGAGATCATGAGGGTGGCACAGGACAAGGTTCAGATAACTTGTTCACAGGGTGCCTGAAGTCGCAGTTAACTCAATGGCACATAGCAACAACATGTTCCAAAAAATACTTAGCACATATCTTAAGAGAATGTTTGCTTTGAACCTCTGTTCTGCATTAATTGTATCCATGAGAGACCAGAGAGAGCTTCCCTTATTAAGGCTGGCTCAGCATTAGTTTATTTGGTTCTCTCAAATTGTGGGAAATATAATGTAGCTGATGTTAGATGGATCTTAGCTGAAAGCAGGGAATACCAGAGGAATGTCTATCTGTGTTTCATTGATTATGCAAAGGCATTTGACTGTGTGGATCATAACAAACTATGGCTGACTTTGAGAAGAATGGGAATCCCAGAACACTTGATCATTCTAATGCGAAACCTATACTTGGACCAAGAGGCAGTCGTCAGAACAGAGCAAGGGAACACTGCATGGTTCAAAATTGGGAAGGGCGTACCCCAGGGATGCATCCTATCTCCATACCTTTTCAACTTATATGCAGAACAGATTATCCGGGAGGCTGGGCTCTATGAGGAGAAATGTGGGGTCAAGATTGGTGAATGATTTATCAACAATCTGCGTTATGCAGATGACACAACCCTGCTTGCTGAAACTGAAGAGGACCTGAAGCACCTGCTGCAGAGGACCAAGGACTGCAGCCTCCAATATGGATTGAGGCTCAATGTCAAGAAGACAAAGATTCTCACCACTGGACCAATTGGCAGCATCAGGATGGATGGTGAAGAGACTGAGATTGTACACAGCTTTAGTTTGCTTTGCTCCATAGTCAACAGTCTTGGCACCAGCAGCCAGGAAATTAAAAGGTGCGTTGCCGTGGGAAAGTCTGCTGTTAGGGACCTCTCCAAAGTACTGAAGAGCAATGATGTCTCTCTGGAGACTAAGGTGCATCTGATACAAACCATGGTCTTCACATTCACTTGTTATGCATCAGAGAGTTGGACAATGACCAAGAAGGATAGAAGGAGAATTGATGCCTTTGAGCTGTGGTGCTGGAGAAGAGTGTTGAGAGTACCATGGACTGCTAGGAAAACAAGCAGATTTGTCCTGGAAAGGGTTAAACTGGGTGGCTCCTTGGAGGCAAGGATTCTGAGGCTCCGTCTAACATACTTTGGACATGTTGTGAGGAGAGACCGGTCCTTGGAGAGGGACATCATGCTTGGGAGGGTGGAGGGACAGTGCAGGAAAGGAAGGCCCTCTCTGAGGTGAACTGATTCAGTGACTGGGATAGTTGGGATGGGAGTGTCAGAGACAGTGCGATTGGCACAGGACAGAGCGGAGTTTAGGGCTGTTGTACATAGGGTCGCTATGAGTCGCAAGCAACTCGACGGCACATAACAACAACAACAACAATGTGCTGCTGGATCTCTGTTTCCATCATTCCTAATTAAGACACTCTATTTAATGGGTAAATGCTTTACGACAGCCCCTGGAACATCACAGAGGCTCGTGGTGGTGACTCTCTTTCTGACTACAGTCCATGACATTTTAGGT